CCTTCAGGAAAGCCTTGCCAGCTGCAGAAAAAAATGGGCCGAGGTGTGCAAGGCCTGGTTGCAACTGTCTGAAGGTAAGTAGTAGGGTAACTCTACCCACCCATCCTGACCCTAACAATTTTTACATGTGTGCCCTGGAGTGTTAGGGCTTATTAGGGCTTAATTAGGGCTTATTTTTGGGTGGTAGGGCTTAAATATTGGGTGCGCATGTAAAAATCAAGCTAGGATTTACTTTTGGGATAGGTTTTATTTTCGGGAAAACATGGTAACAGTAAATTAGCAGTCATCAATAGTGATTGATGTGCTTGTTTCACAAATAACTTTTAAATGCTTGAGGGGAAAAAAATCACTTCTTGTTTATCTTGACAAAACTTTGACCCTATCATTGTAATAAGCGCAGGATCTGAAACAAAATTCTGCAGAAGATTGTCCAGACAAAGCTGCACTACTTAGGCATTCACCAGTTTTCTCACAAAATGTTCAGGCAGTAATTTTGCCTGAACAGGTAGTCCTTGACTTAGAGCAATTCATTTAGTGGCCATCCACAGTTACAACGGCACTTTAAAAAGTGACCTGCGGCTGTTTTTCCCATTTACGACCATTGTAGTATCGCCATGGTCACGTGATCAAAATTCTGATCAAGCTTGGCAATTGATTCGGATTTATGATGGTTGCCGTATCCTGGGGTTGTGTGATCAACTTTTGTAACCTTTTGACAAGCAAAATCAGTGGGGAAGTCAGAGTCACTTAACAACCGTGTAACGAACGTAACAACTGCAATTATTCGCTTAACAACTGTGGCAAGCAAGGTTGTAAAATGGGGCAAGATTCACTTAACAACAGAAAGGTTGGGCTCAATTGTGGTCGTAAGTCGAGGACTATTTGTACAGCATTCCTATTTGTACAACATTCCTGTGTTGTTATAGCAATTCTTTACTTAAGAATTGAGCTGGAGTAGAAAATTCCCATTAAGCTAGACCTTTGAATTCACGTCCTCTCTTAGTATGTAAGCTGCTTGGCTGACTTTGAAACAGTCACTGTCCCTCAGCCCAGATTCCTGAGAAAAGTAGGAGGCAGAAGGATTAGTGCACCACCTTGAGTTGTGAAAAATAAAGGCAGAATATCAATCTAATAATACATCGATCCAAGGAGTCTGTTATTGAATGGGCATGTATACCATTCCATTTTCAGTATGATTGCTGGGCCAGTATGCATTCAAAAAAAATCGGGACAAACTCTCCAAAAAGAAAAAATGGAATAAGAGAATTCTGACTGAAAGAGTAGAGCGGTCAAAGACATCTTTCTCCTTTTCTGAATTAGCAAAGCAGTGCAGTATAAGCACTGGGGTGCTGATCATTATATAAGTCTATTGATCAAATTTATATGCCACTCATGTCGCTACTCAAAGTGACTCTGGGCGGCTTACAGTGCAATAGAAATATAAACGTGAGAATAAGTATAAATATAAAAAAAATGTAAAAATTACGAGAGTTAAGTGAGTCTGAGAAGACCAGAATGTAGCTGAGCCTTTTTGTGTTAAACAGGGATCAAGCCCAGCAATCTGTAGATACACACCCCTGACATGCATTTTTCTACCCTTGCAAAAGTTTTTGCCTATTTCCTAGTCCATGCAATGATCCCATCCTGAAGCCCGACTCTTTCAACTCCAGCTAATACTTTACTGAGCAGTGATGAGTGTTCTCTGGTGTTTCCCTCAGCAGTTTGGAGCACCCTGGAGCTTCCAAGCCTCCGCTAAGCTCCTCCAATATGACATCACGGATTTTGCTACGACAGCAGCTCATGCGTGAGCAAATGCAGGAACAAGAACGCCGAGAGCAGCGACAGAAGCAGCAGGCAGCTCAGTTCATGCAGCAGAGAGGGGCTGTGAGTCAGACACCTGCCATCAACGTCAGCCTCCCCGCCAGCCTTCCTCCTGCGACTCAGGTGCCAATGGAAGTCCTGAAGGTAGGCGACTGGGTGGGCTCAGTTTTGAGAAGGCGGTGGAAGTTTGTTTCCATTAGTGCAAAGCTTTTCAAAATTGTTTCATGCAGTAATGACGGAGTTAAAAAAAATCTTATCACTTTTGCTCTCCCTGTGCATCTGTGTTGCAACTTTCCCAAGGAAAAGTTCATTTGACTAGGCAAAGGATGGAGCTGTGTGTTTTTTGTAAGTGAATTTTGCCCCTCCAGAAATATCCCTTGCTTCCCCATTTGCCCAATGGATGTGAAACACGCGCACCATCTTGAAAACTGGTCTCTTATTTTAGACAATTAAAACAATCATCAAAATAGTTTACAAATTCTTTAACTTTGGTGGAATCATCTTTTTTTTGTTACTGTATAAGTATGTGTGCATTTATGTATATATACATGTACACACATGTATGTGTGTGCATATACCCACCAATAGCTTTTTTCAAAAACTAATAGAGTTCCCGCACAAAGGATTGTTTGAGAAATATTTAATCTTTAATATAGTCCTTTGCTGTAAACCATTAGTAATCCTGTTTTGCTCAATTTATTTTACTTCTTTTTGGGACCATTCTATTCCTTCTTCAACTTCCTAATAGTTAGGGAAGTTGTTTCTACAGTAGATAGAATGTCAGACGTCTTCTCTTCATAGAAACTGAATTAAGCCAATAACATTTCTTAAACAACACATTTGATACTAACATAGGTAATCCCAAAATTCAACTGAAACTGCCATTTCCAACCTTTTGTTATGTTTTACCTACAACATACACAAACAATGTTGTCTTTACTTTTTGTTCTGGAGCTAACGTCATTGTAAACCGAACTGTGTTCCTCCATTTCGAAGTGCAATTGTATTTTGATGGTAGTTAAACCATAGGGTAAAACAGCGTTTTTAAAATGAAATCTTAAATCTTAAGATGAAAAAAGAATTTAGCCAAGCTTTCCTCAGTCTGGTGAACTTCAGCTTTACTGAGATACAATCCTCAGAATTTCCCAACTAGAAATCTGATGGGTGCCAGAAAACTGAATTAGGTTCCTTGTCTTTTAAACTATGGAATGCCAATTTTAGGATTTGCTTCAGTTGTCGTATGTTTTCGTAACAAAATGGCAGAAAACTATGCTATCAGGTTTCAACAGTCATAGTCAAATAGGTGTCTGGGAGCTACTAAAAAAAAGTGGGGGGAGCTGTGTGTTGCCTGGGGTCATAGATTTTTTCATCTATTTTCTCATTGATGTGGTTTGCAAAATTTAAAAAAAATGCTAATGTTTTTTGTGATACAGCAATAGCAATAGCACTTATATAGTATCCCGTGGTGTTTTACAGCACTGTCTGAATTATTTGCAAAATCAGCATATTACCCCCAACAATCTGGGTCCTCATTTTATCCTCCTTGGAAAGATGGAAGTCTGAGTCAATCTTGAGCTAGTCAGGATCGAATTCCTGGCAGTGGGCAGAGTTAGCCTGCAATACCCTATTCTAACCATTGTGCCACCACAGTTCCTAATGTCGGTCAAGAGTTGGTTGGAATTGAGTTTTCAGTTGCTGTGCTGAATCTTAAAAAATGACTAACATACTAGGTCCAAATGAAATGTTGTAAGTAAAATCAAGAAGACCCTATAACTCATAGAGCAAAGGAAGGAAATTATGAAAAGTTATGGAACATGGATAATATGATGCAGTTTTGTCTTAAATGTGGATGGAATAATGGAGACAGAATTATGTAGTCCTGGCAAACCTTTATGTAAAACAGTGCTGCGATTCTAAATTAAGCAAGAGACCTCATTTTAAAACAGGGAACTCTGAAGAAATATCCTGGTTCCCAACATAAGAACTTAATTCTTATACAAACTGAGAAGCACAATTGACATTAATATTAAGGAGTACTCAAGCATAGCTCTCATATCTAGCCATATGTTTGGGCTAGTTATTATTTCCTCTTGATCAAAATAAACATCTATGTACATTGGCATATATGCACAGACAATTATTGCTGTGGTTGTTCTGAAGGTGCTTCTTCCAAAAGCAACTGGAGTTGGGTTTTTTTATCTTGATTTCGATTCTCATCCAATAAACATCTTATGTTCTGCTTCAGTTCACTTCTTGGATGAGAACAGAAACATATTCAAGAGAAAAAACAAAGTCCAGGTGCCTTTTGAAAAATCATATTTGNCAAGGTGGGAGGAGGGGGGAGTCACCTTCTGTTTTGCTTGCCAGGTCATCTCAAGCTAAAAAGAAGAGGGAAAGTGATAAAAACTTCATCCTTAATGGATGAAGAATTTTGAAGTGGCTATTCATTCATTAATGCTATTATTTCTAATTTAGACACGTAATGATCAACAAAACAAGATTTAAAAGTAAATAAAGGAAAGAATGAATAAGCTGCATAAAATAAGCCACAGAGGAATAAAATGAAATGTCATTTGTGAGAATACTGTATATAAATGCATTTTTAACTTAAAGAAAGTACAGACACTTTAAACACACATGTTCAAGAATATATTTATATAGATCAGGAAATCTCTTAGGAACCATTATGTTGCTTAATTAAAAATGAAGACAATTTGAACTAGCCTAACTTAATTAAAAGATTCTTCAAGATTCTCCTGCTGCTTTGTTCTATTTATTTTTCTATAATAAATCTTCTTGTTAAAAATAAAAATAGATTTAATTTATTGTGTTGTACAATTTTATCTTTCCAAGGAAAAGTATATGTTACTCTTTTCATTCTTTAAATAATCTTTAATTGATTTTGAAGGACTTATACAATTTTTCTAAGTTTCTCTAAATATCCAGCAAAAATAAGTAAATGAATAGTATTGCCATATGCATGAGAAAACATACAGATTTCATTATAATCCCTCCAACGTATTCTATAAAGACTTTACTGTAAATAAGATAGTGTTGGTTATGAATTATTTTGATAATTCCTAATAACTCACTTATTTTATATGATGTTACATTATTTGTTTATATAATAAAGTTTTCAAGCGATGTTTGGAGGTGTTTGTGTGTGATCACAACATAATTGTCAGTATTGTGTAGAGGGCTTGTGGCATTCTAACATTTGGAGATAAAACTGATAATCATCATCAGTTTTTTAAATCAGTTTACCACTTATATCGCTTCCACAAGTTAATTGTCCTATAAAGTCAGGAGAAAGGCTGAGACTGCCATACAAATTTGATATAATACTGCATGAAGACACTGGATAAAATTGTTTTCAATATGGGTGAGGTATCGTCAGTATCCCACATGTACATCTATCTGACCACTGTCTAATTAAATGATTCTATTGAAATCCTGTCCCAGTGTTTGAAAGCAGAGGAATCTAGATGAGGAAGCCCTACCTTGGTAAGATTGGAGTAACTATGGATACAGGTTCTCTCTGGATCCAGAGAATTTCTACCTCTTGTTCCATCTCTTGTGAATGGGTTTGCACTTCTGCAGAAAAAAAAAATACTACACAGTTTGAGATGTGTCAGAAATGATTCTACATAGCTTTCTCATTTGTATCAACTGTCCCAAATATGCTTTTTCAAGAGGCAGCTGAGCTTTCCGAGAAGCTTCTTCAGCTCTGACTGGATGGTGAAGAAGTTGAAGAAGCTTCTTGGATGAAAAGTGAAATGTCTTCAAGGAAAAACCAGAAAGTCCAGTTGCCTCTTGAAAAAGCACCTTTGGGACAACCATGACCTGGATGACTGAGAATCTCCATAGACATTTGTATCATCTAGACCTGTTGCTGACTGGGAAGGGCAAAAATGTCCTATTCATGATCACCTATGCCTTGATTACTTCAGATTGTAGATTACTACAATGTAATTTATTGCTCTTGATGACCACTTGGAATCTTCAGTTGGTCAAGAATGTAACAGTAGATGCAGTTATAGGCATGCTAGAATATTACCCCCTAATACATGTTTCACAAACTGCACAGGTTACCAATAAGTTTGTGCAAGCTCTACTGCTTACCACGGTACAGTTCAAGGTACGTGTTGTCACTATAAAACCTTATATAGCAAAGTGGTAGACATATACCACTTCACAGTGCTTTACAGAGTCAGCATATTGCCCCCAACAATCTGGCTCCTCATTTTACTGACCTCGGAAGGATGGAAGGCTGGACTCAGTGAGAATTGAACTGCTGGCAGCTGCCAAACTCCATGCTGGATAGAGCCAAATTCTTTATATAATGTAAGATCCCATATTTGGGGAGTAGAATTTAGTATGAGATTTATATTTTTAACCATTTATAATTTCCCCAAAACTATAATGTAATTGTAATGTAATATATAATAGCCCTCAAATTTTCTTCCATTAGTAGCATGAGAAATCAGATATCAGAAATCAGATCAGTCAACTTAGTTACAACTTTCTTATGGAAAACATGAATCAAGTTTTCCTTTTTTTCCTGTCCTTTCCCCCCGCCCCCAGAGTGATTTTCTATTTCTTAAATCTTAGATGCATTGATTTTCCAAAATTGGATATCTAATTCTTTATTCCATGTGTCATANTTTAGTATAGCATGTGTTGCTTTTACATCCAACAGATGGCGCTGGTTTTCAAAAAAGCATGTTTTACCTGTCACGGGTGTGACATATATATATAATAGTAGGTATATAAAAACATGCACGTATTCAAATGCAATGTTGTGTAAAAATTTCAAAGCAATCGGTGAAGAACTTTTGGAGATTTAAGATTTTGAAGAAACGAACATTTACATTTTTATTTATATAGATTTATTGCATTTATATCCCACTTTTTTGCTCATAACAGCATTCAAGGCAGCCTGTAACTATAGAAGCAATATAGTGTATAAAAAAAAAAATATCTGAAAAATACCAAAGTCTAAGTTCATGACTTTATAGCATTTTGATTGGCCTTAATAAAAGAGCTGATTTGGAAACAAGCCTTTAAAAGATGGAAGGTTCATAGATCAGATTTAACATATGTTTTACTTGCAAAGGATCCGAGGTTTGAATTCTGGAGATTGCTCTAATTCTGAATCTGCCCTGATGTTAAGGTAGACAGGAGGTGCCTTCTACAGTTGCGAATGATCTCTGCTCTTTCTGCTTTTAGATATGCTGCCAAGACCGGTCGTGTAGAAGAAAATTATTCCAAATTTATTTGGAAATAAGTGGTGAGGAAAATACATTTTAGAGCAGGGGTGTCAAACTCAAAGCCCGCAAGCCAGATGAATCTTGTGCTGGCCACACCCACCACCGTTTTAGTGAAGGGGGTTATGATTTGTCCTCAAAGTTGTCATCATCCCATTTGATTGCAATCAGGTGCAATTGCTTGGCACCTGGCTTGCAGTGTCCACGATCACATGATTGTGATTTGCAACCTTTTCTGCTAGCATCCCACAAACAAAATGAATAGGGAAGCTGGCAGGGAAGATCACAACTTGCTCAAGTAAGTGTCCCATATCTGTGAACCCTTCCCAAGCCTCACTGCATGTGCAGTGCACCTCCCCACTCACATACACTTCCACACCTTCTCCCACTGGATAGCAACCCTTCAAGCACAACTATGCTCA